AGAGAGAGAGAAAGAGAGAGCACAAGCAGGGGAAGCAGCAGGCAGTTGGAGAGGAAGAAGCAGGCTCCCCGCTGAGCAGGGAGCCCCACTCGGGGCTCAATCCCAGGACCCCGGATCATGACCCAGCTGAAGGCAGACAATTAACCAAATGAGCCACCCAGGTGCCCCACTTCACCTAAATTTTTAAATGCATCAGCATGAAGTTATTTATAATACCTTCCCGAAAGATTTTTAATGAATGCAGAAGCAGTGAGTGAGGTCTCCATTTCATTTCTGATATTTGTGCTGGCACACTTTTTTCTTTGTCTTGCTGGAGATTTTTCTTCTCAAAGAAGCAATTCTTAACTTTGTTAATCCTATTATGTTTGCTTTCTATTCCAATAAATTAAGCTCTTTGTTTTTTCTTCCTTCTTTGTGCTTAATTTACAGTTTTTATAACTTGAGATAAATGCTTCACTCACTTTTAGCCTTATTTCTTTCTAATAAATTAAGATATTAAGTCCCCTCTAAGCACAGCTTCATGCCTCACAAACTTTGATGTTCTATTTTCGTAATAAAAGTTTTTCTAACTTCCATTGTGATTTCTTCCTTAACTCAAGATTACTGTGGAGTATGTTTTATAGTTTCTAAACATGAGATTTTTTAAAATCTTTTTTCCTAGCTTATTTTCCTTTTTTTTTTTTTTCCTAAAGTAAGCTTTATGCTCCAGATGCATGGGTGGCTCAGTCGGTTAAGCATCTGCCTTCAGCTTGTCATGATCCTGGGGTCCTGGGATCAAATCCCCCATCGGGCTCCCTACTCCGCAGGGAGCCTGCTTCTCCTTCTGCCTCTACCTCTCTCTCTCTCATGAATAAATAAAATCTTTAAAAATAAATTAATTAATTAATTAATTTTTATGCCCAACATGGAACCTAAACTTACAGCCTGAGATCACGAGTCTCATGCTCCACTGACAGATCCAGCCAGGCAACCCCCCTAGTTTATTTATGGTCAGAGAATATGCTCTGTATCGTTAATAATTTTTTGACACTTTAAACTTACTTTCTATTAAGCATGTGGCCAACTTTTGAAATATCCAACATGTACATGAAAAAAACATGTATTATGTATTGGTTGAGTACAGCAACCTATACATGGTGCTTAGTTCTATTGTATTTTCTATAACCCTACCAACTATTTTTTTATGACTGTAATCTTCTAGGATTGTGCATTTCTCTATTTCTCCTTGTTTTCTGATAAATTTAGAAGCCATTGAGTTCTATAAATTTAAAATGGCTAAACATTTCTGGTGAATTTGTCCTTTTCTCATTATCAACTGTCTCTCTTTACTACTAATTAGTTTTTTGCCTGAAATTGTTTGCTATTAATATAGCCACAGTATCTTTCTTTTGTTTAGTGTTTATATATCTTTCTTCATCCTTTCACTTTTCACCTTTCTGTATCTTTACATTTTGTGTCTCTCTTGTATATATCTGGGTTTTATCATTATCTGAAAATGTCTTTTATTGGAGGATCTTACCCCCATTTACACTTACTGCAATTTCTGATCCATTTGGATTTAAAATGTACCACCTCGCCAGTTGTTTTCCCTGTCACTTTTCCTTTTTTTTCTGTTTTGCTTTCTTTTGGGTTGAGTACCTTTTTTTCCTGTTGTTCCATTTCATACCATTAGTATTTAGTAATACACTTTACAAACCTTTCAGTGTGGTAAATATTACACCCCTAAATATTACACCATGCAACTGTGAATGTTCAAAATGACAGCTTAACCTTTCCTTAGACATAAGGACCTTAAAACACTTTTCAATTTATCCCCCTCAACTTACATGCAACTATTTTCATGTACTTTGATCCTCCATTTTTTTAAACCCCCGAAGACATTATTTTTGTTTTAAAATCACTATTAATTTAGGGGCGCCTGGGTGGCTCAGTCGTTAAGTGGCTGCCTTCGGCTCAGGTGATGATCCCAGGGTCCTGGGATCGAGCCCCACATTGGGCTCCCTGCTCGGCAAGAAGCCTGCTTCTCCCTCTCCCATTCCCCCTGCTTGTGTTCCCTCTCTCGCTATCTCTGTCAAATAAATAAAATCTTTAAAAAAATAAATAAAAAATAAAATCACTATTAATTTAAAGCCCCATATTTATCCTGTTGTTCATCATTTCTTCTTGCATCTTCAAGCTATCTAGTATCATTTTCCTTCTGCTTAATGACATCATTTTTGTGTAGTTTATTAGGAAAAATTTCTCACTTTTTGTGTGAAATTTTAACTTTATCTTTCGAACTTTTTTTTTTTTAAAGATTTTATTTATTTATTTGCGAGAGAGAATGAGAGACAGAGAGCACGAGAGGGAGGAGGGTCAGAGGGAGAAGCAGACTCCCCACTGAGCAGGGAGCCCGATGCG